GGAAAATGTTGCTGTAGAGAGAAGAGGAAGATTTTTCAAACTGCTGTACATTTCTGGGCTGGGGAAGGGTTAACCTTCTGTCCTCAGGGGAGATATTGTGATACTATTGCCCAGTCATACAAGAGGAGCTACTGGATGTGCTTTTGGAATTCCAGACATCATTTTGTCAAAGACTTAATGTCAGTTATGATTGTGTTGAAAGGGTGTGATTTACTTTTACCTGTACGTCCTTCCGTACTCTGCATCATGGAAATATCTGTGCACCAATCTCAATGAAACAGTTGATGGTCATGWCAACTGAAAAAGATGTCAAAGCAGTAACTTGGAAAAATTCCTGCATAGTGTGAGATGTCTTATCACAATAAACTCATTCCTTGCAGGGATTATTCCACTACACACAAGAACATGTCCAAATGGGAACATTTGCCCAAGCAAGATTTCCCAATCATGTTTCATCGCATTGATGGAGAAAATACAAGAGAAGGGAATTCCCCTTCCTAGTAGTTTAATCCTGAAGAGGTGATGGTGGTTGTTCAATATTTTTAAAGATCTACTAGTAGTAAACAATTTGAGGCCCAAGATCAATCAAGAAGACATTGCAATAACTCCCTACACAAGACACTCAAGTCTTGCTAAAGATTTGATCTGCATTAAGATTATCTGATATTCACAGTATCAAAGTTGGTAAGTTAGGAATATCAAATTCAATCCATTCCCAAATCTGGTATCAAAGGAACCTAGTGATTGCTTGTTTTCTGGCTTTCAATATTCCTGAGAACACGCCACTAAGTTACTTTTCCTGCATTGTTTCTCTAGTATTGTATTTCAATTTATGAACAGGTTCAACTATACTCAAGATTTCTAAAGCTAACCTACGTACATTCCACCAGATTAATTTGGTCCAAATTTATCTCAAGATTCAGTGGCTCAGTGTATTGTATCTTCCTGGTACAAACACACTATCTCATAGTCTCTTCTCCCACCAATGTTTGGAATTCTACCATCCTTCCACTACATATCCATATCAGCCAAATCCTGAACAAACAAGCTGGAATACTTTTACTAAACTCCTGACCAGCATATCCCATGGTCATATCACAAACAGGATTCTTAACACAGCTCATTGACTTGGCAATGGGGATCCTCCTCATGCTATCCATGGTGTATGGAGTGCTTATCTGTCTAATGATCATTGTATTTGGACTTCACTACATCCAGAACAATGGCTGTCCCATCCTATTGTTGTGACTCRGATTGGACCCATTTGAGCAACTSCTTTCTCTGGAAAATATCCCCCTGGTAAGCACGTCTCATTTTCACTTGGACAACCAAGAAGACTGAAGGTTTTCAATATGATCCAGCAAGTGCCTACCTATTTCCCAACACCATCAGCAAGCCTCTACATAAAAMCCCCCCACACACATGGCCTGCCCTCTTATGCTCCATTGATCCATAGCAACACCAGCTCCTCACCTTTCAAGCTCAGATGACAACACCTAATTTCATCACACTAGTTTTACTACCTTCATGCCCAGAAGTCATTCAGATTCAATCTTGCTAGTAAGTAACAAGCCAATGCACGAGAGCTGTCACTGAGTTTTGTCTGTTACCCTGTTATCATGCATACTTGGCAGATAGGAACCACCAGTGGCCATTACATGTCCTTGCTGATATTGCCTGGAACTCCCTGAGCACTGCYACCAATCACATCTCCAGGAATTCTCTGGTCACCAAATGCTGCAATCATATTCTGCCCACCACTGTCACCATCCTCAAACAGTGGAACTACCAAAGGCATGACACTTGTTGTCTTTGCCCATCTCCTGAAGATTCAGAGATGGCAGCATCAGACTACAACCTGCCTCATTGAGACAACAGGCAGATGGCCACCCTAGGCTTCAGACCAATTGCTATTGACACGCTTGCCATCTGTCTTACTGAATGGCTGGATGCTGGCACAGTTTCCCCAGATATATATCATGTATCTCTCCATCCACCAGTTATTCATTTCCAGAGTGAGATTGCACAAAAKAATGTGCACTGATAGATTGGAATGGTGTGTAAACTGAATTATAATGAATTATCCTGATATGTAAGCTAGGTCTCCTTCCACACACTTTCCTGTGTTGTAAGGGAGTAGAAGCTGCTTTCTGCTGCTTTGATTCCCTGTAGACTCTAGTAGTGATTCTACTGAGCAGATTTAGAACAGAACTTCTGGTTGATGTGTTACTCTCAGTTCTGTTCTGGTTCTGCTGGAAAGTGTTGTCCTCAAGAATAGGAATTTTCAATAATCCCATAGTTATGTAGTATTATGCATAGTATATAGTACTATATAGGGTGTAGGTCCATGCAGTCCACAAGGCCCAAAATCCTACTATATATGTTGTTCCAGTCACGGGGACTCCTCACATTTGGTCCTCTGTACTAGTACTGACTCTAGCACTATGGGTATAGTTCCAGGGACTCACAAATGTCCTAAGTACTGGCTCTGCATGCTTGTTGCAGAGATTGGATGGCTCCATTTATTTGTGGGGCACCTTACCTTGTTGACCTTCATTCCAGTTCTCACTCCCCACTTGTGCTGGGGGGTTATCTTGTGGAATTCTTCCTTACTTCTTACATATCATTGTGGGAACAGAGAAATAAAGACCTCCATGGCTACACTCTTTCTCAGAAACAACCACAGTATTGACAGAGGATGACAACAAAAGTCTGTAATCTCTTTGCTCTCAAACCACAGACATGTCCCTCTCGTGCTCACTTATTCCCAGAGGATATGGAAACATGCATATCTAATGCACCTAGTACTACTATTCCCTTGCTCATGGACTACCACTCATTCAACAAGAAAACTATTTATGCAAGTGTCAGCAATGCATTGTTTGCATCCACCTCCATCACAAGCCCTATCAMWCAGTATTTTTCACCTTTGACTCATAGTAGTAAACAAYCACCGGACAGTGTCACCCAAGATTTGCTGGTCTTTGACGCCAACTCCAAAAGCCTGCAGTGCCAGATACTTCCTTGGCTCCTTCTGTCACTCTTTTCTGTTCACTACAAACCAAATTAACCAACTTCTTTTAAAACCAGCAAAAGAAAACCCTGGTTGCATCTCCATATCCTCAGAGGGATGCACTGCCCCTCAGAGGAGCAACTAGTAGGAGCATTCTTCCCACCCAGCAAAGCTATTGTTCKGGCCATATAGTGCCTCTTCTAGTAGTAGTTCCTGAAGTAAAATATAATATTTCTGTAAGATTTTTAATGAACAGGTTCAGTGGAGACCTTTCAGGGCCAGGAGTGTTGAGTGATTATAATTTCTACAGTCAGATCCCAGAACAACTTGCTTACTCATGATCTCAAGTATAATCTTGTTGGCTTTGTTGCCAACAAGAAGTGGTTCAATCTGGCCATTACGCATGCAAAATCTCTCTTGATTAGTGTTGGAAATCCCAAGGTGCTTGCAACCAACAAGAAGAACTGGCTTCCCCTCTTCCAATTCTTGTGGTTGGGACAAGATTGGGTCGATTGTGCTTCATCTAAAGACGACGGATGTGACGAAACTGGCTTGTTATTCCGCAGTGAAGTGGAGAATAATGATGACAACAGTGACGAATGACAGGTAGTCGCCCAAGAAGGCCAAGGTTTCGTCAACAGAGAAGAGTAAAAGTTGATGTTCTTGTTGAGAAAAATCCCTTTGCTTCATGAACCCAAAATTTGGTRCCGGTAGGTTGTTTTGATGAGGCACGGAAGAACACACATGGATGGGAGCTGAACAAGGCATGATCTAGTTTGGCATATATCGTGCTAGGTGTCATTTCTTCCTTCCRTGCTTTTCTCCGTGGCCTACCGATATCGCCCCAAATTGCAACATGTTGCAAGTCATGATCTTCTTACTTATCCCATATTATTCCGCAATACATTCGGTACTTGGGTATGGTATGAGTTCGAGATGAGCCTGATGTTTGTACCGTCCTCCGGTACCGTAAGGCGTACGAGATAGATGGAGGATGCCACAAAACTGTCTGTTCTCGAAAACGAAAAATTCTAATTCTAGGAATTCAGAATTTTTCAAGTTTTGTGAAATTGCGGGAAACGTGGAACTACGAAAGCGTAGGATACGTACCTACTCGTACATAACATACTGTAAGTCATGAACGAACAGAACGAATCATGATACTGTACTGTAGTACTGTATTGTAAAAAAGTACTGTACTGTACGTACTGAATTGCTGTGTTGTGATTTATCAATGTAGAAGTACCGTACGGTACAAGTTATTCTGTAKCGGTACGTAGCTTGCGTGAAACAAGTACAATACGAAGTACTTCGTTGAAAATCACAGTTCTTCGTACTGAATTACTGTACGTAGATATCGTATTCGAAGTACCGTACTTAATTTAAGTACCGGTAGAATAGAAGAAAGTTTTACATAGAAGTACAGTAGTACTTCTACTTCATAGAAGTATTTTTCCTGTATTTTTTTCAAACATGCTACTTTATGCTACCATGAATATGGTATGACTCCGATCAATACAGTACTTCTACTTATGAAGAACGAATCATGGTGTCTATTTCCGGTCGACGTGTCGGTTTTGGAGGTTCGTACTCCTATCAATCCTGTTAATGAATTTTGACATCATTGAGTTTGGTTCTTATTAGAGCAATCGAAGAATCATCGAAACCTGTCAGACTTTTTATTGACTTCAACGCCTTCCGCGCCAAAATTGTACGTCCACCAAACGTGCGCACTCCGAATAGTTTTTAGCGCAGACAAGAGCGATTAGTTCCTACCATAGGCGCGAGCAAAGTGCAAGTCGAAGTACGAACCTTTTCGGAGTTCTTTTCTGTTGCTGCGCAAGCATCGCCGCATCACTTTGCCTTTTTGTGTTTCGAAGTTGTCATGCAACATCATCAAGTTCAATCTTTTTTCTGTCTGAGCATCAAATTCAACAATATTTTTTATTACTTACGACATCCCGTGCGTCTTCCACATACTGACGAACATCTTTCAAATTCCTTGGAAGGAATAATGTTCTATTAATCTTGAAGATTCTTACTCTTCGTCATCTCCTTGCAAGGCATCCTAATAAAGTTTGCATTACACTTTATCAAGAGACCTTCCTTCTTATCGAAAGCAGATAAAGCATCAAGCAATTCATCATTCCTCTTCCTTCGTCAAGATTTCGTGGGAATGGAGCGGAATTGATTTGAGAATATTCTTGTACTGACACCAACCGTTGTAATAGATTTCAGGATCAAATCTAGATTCTATAGGTCGAATACATTGCATGCACTCATAATATTACAATACTGAATAAGAAACGACAAGGATATTATCAACTTTCCACCACTTGACACACGACTCAGCAAAACGGAACTAAACTGAATCGAAGGCATCTTCTGCTCGTGATATCGCATATCCATACTGCCGAAAACAAACCCATTGCACCAACAAATAAAGCACTTGCACAAGTACTCAACGATGAGCTACTCTCAAGATTTGCAGCAGCTGCAGCAGCAGAGGGTAAAAGTAGTGGCGGGATACGCTTTGCAACAAAGACTGGGCTCCGGGTCCTTTGCGACTGTTTACAAGGGAATACGGGTCGAGCAAAAAAAGGAGTCGCAACAAGAGCAGCCGCAAACGATGAGTGATGACGACGAAAATGATTCTTCTTGTGATTCTTCCACTACACAGCGGCAAGACAAAGAGCCTCCCCGGGCGGTAGCCATCAAAGCTATTGCCCGAACCTCTGAAAAGCTCACCAAAAAAGTACTTCAGAATCTTGAAATCGAGATTTCTATATTACGAACCTACCGACATCCGAATATTGTTTGCATGCACGATGTTCAAAAGACTGACCGTCACTTTTATTTAATCCTAGAGTACTGCGGTGGCGGGGATGTACAGCACCTGATTCGGTCCCGCCAAAAGGGACGCCTGTCAGAGCGTTTTACCCGACGACTGATGCGGGACCTTGCCAGCGGCTTGCGTTTTTTGTGGGGCCAGGAACTGATTCACAGGGACATCAAACCGCAAAACTTGTTGCTGACTGGCCGCATTCCACCAGAAGAACTGGTGGACAACCCTCCCCTCGAAAACGCTGCTACTAGTTGTTCCGAAAGCATCCACGACGACCCGAACCAGGGGTTTTCTCTCAAGATTGCAGATTTTGGCTTTGCGAGGCATTTACAAACAGCCTCATTGGCGGAAACTTTGTGCGGATCACCTTTGTATATGGCGCCAGAAATTTTGCAACACCATCGGTAAGTGGAAAACTGATTCGATCCGTTCCTTCGTAAGTTTCAGCATCACGCGTAAGGGCAATCCCTCTAATTGTTCAACATCACATTTCTCTTCCATKAAACAGGTACGATGCAAAGGCAGATTTGTGGAGTGTAGGGACAGTTCTCTTTGAGATGATTGCTGGGCGACCCCCCTTCAACGGAGAGAATCATATTGACTTGCTGAGGAACATCCAGCGGAAGGCAGTCCGATTGCCCCATGATGTTCGAGTTAGTAAGGCCTGCGTGAACTTACTCCGGATCTTACTCAACCGAAATCCACTGAGCCGTGCTGGTTTTAAAGAATTCTTTGAGGCATGTGACGCTTTTGTGGCTCTTGGGTGCGGAGGAGTGGCCACTGGGGACTACGAAGGTGGTGTTAACACCAACAGCAGCATCACAAAAGGAGGCAGCAACAGCAAAACAATCGGGGGTGGAATTGTCGGAGGAATCAATCGCATCGCCACAAAAGATCTTGGAACAATACATGAAAACGATCACAGTGGAACCAATCCTACTTCGTCAGACAGTCTAATGACGGTCGAAACCACCGCAGAACGCAATCAACAGGAAGTGGCACCAACAAATACTGTTAATGCGACTTCAGTAGTGAGTACAAATGCAACAAGAACGATGCATCCGCACCAAAAACATCAACAACCGTTACCGCCTAGTAAAATTTCTCCAAACATTGGATATCAGGCGACATCAAATTTCATTCCAAACTCGATAAGTATGGGCAATAACAGTGCCAATCCACAACTAAGTGGTCGGCCACAAACATTTTACCAACAGCCAAACAATCGAAATCGATTGGCCCCTTTGCAATCTAGCCCACCATCGTCGACTGGGATATTGTATTTAAACAGTAGGATTCCAGCCCCTCTACCTTCTCCTACGACCCAAAATGCTGAAGAGCAGCATCCACAGCCACAACGACATCGACAACAAACACAGCACCAATCCACTGCAGGGTACTACGCTGCAGGAGCAGCAAACGGAAATAGCGTTTCGCAATCTCAAGTTTCGAGCAATGATGACAGTGGATTCGTCATGGTCGAACACACAAAATCTCCGACTTCGTCCCAACACTTCTATGCCACTGGTTCACAGCAGAACCTTCATCGAAACAATGAAATTACAGAACATCGCGCTCGCTCCTCGAAAGGAATGCTCAGCACCAGTCCAGGAACTGGAAAGTTGCTTTTGGGCATGGTGGGTCGGGCAACGATTGGCTTTGGTGTCACTGTCGGAAACAATAACGCACCTTCCTCGCATACTGTACAACACCAACAACTCAATCATACTACGAGAATGACCAAGGTTGTGGACGATATTGCTGCGGCCAATAAGATGCTTGCCACTGCCGAGGATGTCGGGCGTCGAGCCGTTAGTGTTGCACATCTTGGAGACAGCCGAGCCTACCTGGGAATGCGCCTTGTCTTCAAAACGAACGAAGAGGGATCCTCTCTTTTGTCCACGGCATTGATGGAGGGAGTGGAAGAAGAGCCTATATCATGCACTGGAAGTACGAATAGTACAGATAAAATGTACGATGTTTCTACCGATAACTCGAGTTCCACGGAGATCATGGCTCCCGCACGAAGAAGATCATCCACGTGTACTTCTACCGAAAGAACTATCTCGGCTGATGTGAGTGAGGAGGAAGAGGAAGAAATGCCCTTTGCTATCAGTCCAGACGCTCCATCAGTTTCGCTGCCATCCCGGTCGAACCCATCTGTATACAACCGAGGTACGAGCGTTTCAAGCATGAAAAAGTCTTCTACGACAAAGGTTAGTCCCCAAACTATTCGTAATCGTTTTAGTGAAGCCCTAGCTTGTTACTTGAAGTCACTGAAGATGCTTAAGGGAGCCGTTGGAGCGGCACAACGCGTAACAAAAGATCTAAAGGATATCGAAGCTCAGCTTGCACAAATGAATTTGAGCAATCCCAACAATAAAATTGGTTCCGATGTACCAAAGTTGAAGCAGCGCTGCGAAATTACATCGAATTGGTTGTGCTCTCAATTCAGTGGAGTACTAGAGAGGGCAGATGCTGCGAATGCGGAGATTTCCAAGCTAGTTGGTAGTGGAAGTAGCGATGTTGGAGAGAATGCAGGACATCAGCAAACTGGCAGCACGACGAGTGTCGAAGAACTCATTTACAATCATGCCCTTGCTTCGGGGCGCGATGGGGCCGTAAAGCATTTACTTGGGCAATACGATGGCGCAAGATCTTGTTATCGATCCGCTGGTTTGCTTGCTGAAACGTTGCTGATGGAAGTCAATATTGGTGCCGACGACCGCAAAATATTGGAAGGTTATGTGGACGGATTTGCGGCCAGAATCGGTGAGTTGGATCAATTGATGCTTCAGCAGAGTCGAATGACGATAAGTTCCAACACCGCACCAACATCACAGTCACAGCAGGCGCGTCGTGGATCGGGAATCGTTGGTCTCATCGGGCCTCCTCCTGCAGCAGGGATGACGTCGTCTCCATTTGTGGTTGGATCCCCCAGATAAATAGAAGGACTTAGCACCGCAATTCGGCATGAAACTGCTGGGAACTACCATTTGCGCCTCATTATGCCAAACTGCATGATTTAATTTCTGCATGTCTATATGTGTTCCCTTGATAAGACTTGATTAATGGAAGGAAGGAATCCATCTATTTTACACTTGTAACAGATCTGCATAAATATTACTGTAATTTCAAAAATAATTAAGGAATCATTTGTCATGCCAATTCTATTTGATCATCTTTCATTAGAAGACGTGGATCTTATTATCCCATCGTTTCTAGAAAAACACCCTCTGAAGTTTTGGTCTGGAACAAGTAGAACGCAGTTGCAAACCAGGACCCTCGGAATTAATCGCATTAACAGCGACTCACTTTTCTGGGTGTTGTCTGCTTTCAATCTTCTTGCGCCCTAGAGTTTCGTTATCGCTACTGTCCTGCTTTGCTAGGCRATGGTGGGCGTACTTGGACATCGTGAACAAGAGCTAGGTTGTTGATTTCCACAGCCTTCACGAGGGCCTGTGTCGTTGACTCGGACTCTCCTAGCTCTTTCATCAACAGGGCGAAGGCTTCAACAGAGCAAATATGGAGTGCATCTGGGTCGCTTGAATTCCGGACTGTTACGGCGCTGCTTTTGGCATAATTCTTTTGAGCACGGTGGTAGACCGACAAAGTCTTTGGATGGAGTGCGACATGGGGAGGAATAGGAATACCAGATGCTGCGAATCGTTTTTTGATAGTCTTAAACATTGATCGTGCTTGGGAATAAACGCCGTCTAAAACAACTACCCGCAAAGGAGGCAAGCTAGCATATGAATCCTCATTACATGTATTGATATTGTCATTTTCATTCTCATTTGGCTTGCTTTTGGTACGCTGTCGCCAGGGAGAATTTTCTGGCAATTTCGATAGGAAACCCTCCACGGTCAAGGCCTTTTCTGCAGGCCAAAGGAGCAGAGTGTGGTGAGGATCCAAGGAACATTCTGCTTCGAATTTTTCCCAGTCGCCCATTCTCCCAAAAATGCACAGCTGGGATCTCTGGAATTGCTCGTCTTGCTCAGCGCCGTCGGGCAAGAGAGCTAGCATTAACTTGGCGTCGTTTCCAGCCGAGAGATATTCTTTATAGTGCATCAAGACAATCACTTTGATGGGAAGCTCCAAGTCATTTTCTTGAAGGACTGGAATGAATGAACAGATGCAGCGGGTGATCTTGTCGTGCCAACAGCGTAGGCATCTATTTGTTCGTTGGCTTTCTTTGATTTCCACGGTCCGGGTTGCTATTTTTTCGAACAAATCGACACCKTCGTAACCTTGGTCCTTCACGGTTTGGCTAAAGGATCGCAACCTTTGGGTTTCTTCGTTGCTGCATGAAGCCATCCTTCGGTAGAGTTGTCCAGTCTTCCGTCGATTCGTCGATTCATCACGTCATGGAGCTGAATAACTCCATGTACTGGAGTGCTCTCAACTCTCTCAATTATGCATCACGACGGATTTTTCTTACACCCGAGATGTCAAAGAATTGGAGGCCACAGACTATTTCATATTCATATTCATAATTCATACCGTACTACGTACCAGGTACAATACCATGCGGAATGCGGACAGCGGACAGCATGTTCGTAAGCTCCGATAGTACATACAGTAGTACAGGACCTTACGTACTAGGCCGTGGGAGAAGACCGTATGTACCGTACTGTAGTATGTATCGTAATATCAATATCGTTGGATTCGAAACTCGATTAGTACTTTACTCCCTACAGTAAGTACGCGTACCCGTMCKYACGATACTCGTAATCAGGTACAGTAAAACGATACTACGTACCGTAGACCATAGTACGGTACGATACGGGTAGTGCTCATTTCGACGGTAGTAGACTAGACGACCCCCTCCCGAGCGGTACCGTAGTACCGTACATAGCGTTCAATGGAGATCACGGCGAAGCGAAGCTTTACTGCTCCGTGCCGTATTGCACGAAGTACTGTACGTAGTACGTGCCGTAGGACGATCAACTTTTTATCGCCCAGAGCTAGCATGCGCGCACCTGCATGCAAAATCTAACCGTTTATTCCTTCTCCGCTAATCTCTCGGGAATCTTGACCTGCACTTCGCCTGAATATCGACTCGCAACTATTACACCCTGGCACGTTGAAATAGTAGTACTGATGTTGCCTTGCATCGAGTCGCCCTTCATGAAAAGATTTCAAGGTCTCGGACAACACGTTAGCATCGATCATCACAATTGACCTGAACAATAACTAATCAGCCGTAAGTACTAGTATCAACATGTCGGAGGATGTCGACAACAAAGTATAACCTGACGACGATGGGAAACGAATACGTCAAGCACTCGGAAAGCCTCCGACTATYTTGAAACTACGTTTCCCTCTCTCTGGTGGAACGATGACCAAATTGAAAAATATCGGTTTCGGAGCAAATACGAATCAGCCAACTGTAACTAATGTTCGCTTTTTTAAAACTGCAATTCACGATAATAGAATTTTAATCGTATAATATACTATTATGTCTGGATATTACGGTAACGAAGAGAAGGAAGCCGACTATGGATACATCTTCAAGGTGTCGGGTCCTCTGGTCGTCGCCGAGGGAATGAGCGGTGCTGCCATGTACGAGCTTATGCGTGTTGGTCACCAAAAGCTTGTCGGAGAAATCATTAAACTCGAAGGAGACACCGCCTCCATCCAGGTTTATGAGGACACATCGGGTTTGACCGTTGGTGACCCCGTCCTCCGAAAGAAGCAACCCCTTTCTGTCGAACTCGGTCCCGGTATCATGGAAAGTATTTTCGATGGTATTCAGCGTCCCCTTGAAAGCATTTGGAAAGAGAGCGGGGATGTCTACGTTCCAAAGGGTGTGGATGTGCCATGTCTGAGCCGGGAAAAGCGATGGACTTTCACCCCTGGATCAATCAAGGAAGGGCAACCCATTTCTGGAGGAGATCTTGTGGGAACTGTTTACGAGAATGAAATTATTGATCAGCACAAGATTTTGTGTCCTCCCAATATCTATGGTACCGTGTCTAAGATTTTCACCACTGGAACCGATGGAAAAGAAACCTTCGTTGTCGACGATGTTGTCATGGAAGTCTACAACGAATCCACAAACGTCACCCACAAGTTGACCCTCAGTCACTTCTGGCCCGTTCGTCGTCCTCGTCCCATTGCCGAGAAGCTTCCCGGTAACGCACCTCTTATCACCGGTCTTCGTGTTATTGATGCATTGTTCCCATCTGTCTTGGGAGGAACATGCGCCGTGCCTGGTGCCTTCGGTTGCGGAAAGACCGTCATTAGTCAATCTCTCTCCAAGTTTTCCAACTCCGATGCTATTATTTACGTTGGTTGCGGTGAACGTGGTAACGAGATGGCTGAAGTGCTTGCTGATTTCCCTGAACTTACAATGACTGTCACTGATCCTGATGGATCCGAGAGAGAAGTTGGTATCATGAAACGTACCGCATTGGTTGCCAACACATCCAACATGCCCGTGGCCGCCCGTGAGGCCTCGATTTACACCGGTATCACTCTTGCCGAATATTTCCGTGATCAAGGCATGAATGTGTCAATGATGGCTGACTCGACCTCTCGTTGGGCCGAAGCCCTTCGTGAGATTTCCGGTCGTCTTGGAGAGATGCCTGCCGATTCCGGTTACCCCGCCTATTTGGGTGCCCGTCTTGCTGCTTTCTACGAACGTGCTGGACGTGTCAAGTGTTTGGGATCACCAGATCGCGAAGGTACTGTTTCCGTTGTTGGAGCTGTCTCTCCTCCAGGTGGAGATTTCTCAGATCCCGTTACTGCTGCTACGTTGTCCATTGTTCAAGTTTTCTGGGGTCTAGACAAGAAGCTTGCTCAACGTAAGCATTTCCCATCGCTTAACTGGCTTATTTCGTACTCGAAGTACATGCAAGTTTTGGAGCCTTTCTTCAATGGTATGGACGAACAATACTCGACTCTCCGTGAGACTGCCATGAATATCCTTCAGCAAGAAGATAACTTGCAGGAAATTGTCCAGTTGGTTGGAAAGGAATCGCTCTCTGAAGATCAAAAGGTTGTCATGGAAGTTGCCAAGCTCATCCGTGAAGATTTCTTGGCACAAAATGCCTTCACTGAATTCGATTACACCTGTCCTTTGGTCAAGACCGTTGGCATGCTCAAGGTCATCATCACCTTCTACAACTTGTCTCAGAAGGCGATCGCCGATAGTCCTGCTGACTCCAAGATCACTTACGCACACATTCGAACTGCGTTGGCGCCTATCATCCAAAAGGTTGTTGATACGAAGTATGTCATGCCCCGAGAACCCGTCGAAACTATCAATGCTACGTACAACAAGATTATTGACGAAATGACAAACGAATTCCAGACCTTGACCGATGGTATCTAGACGAGATGGGATTGCTTTTGGCGAAGATGACTCTTTAATTCTAATTAGTAGTTTTTAAAAAGATTGTTACTTCTATATGCCTCAGATTTTTGCATCGGTTCCGAAGGCAACGACTACAAGCCAACCAAGACTCTCAAGTGGTTGTCTGATCTGTCAACGTTCAAACGTGAACAATGCGTATTTTTAAAAAAAGAAAGTTTAATGTTCTTGCTCCCCCTGTGCACTTGGCTTGCTGGACTTGAAACGTTCAATTGAGCTCACTCTGTAGTAATGCGTTGTTCATTGCAGTGATGACGAAAACTCGTATGGAAATTCTTTCGACGAGTCCGTCAACGGTCTCTTGAATGCCAGCCATCCTACTAGAAGTAGTAGAGTAGATAGTCCCAGCTTTTTAGAGAAAAAATAGTGGAAACTCCTTTTGATTGCCAACGGATGGTGATCGCTATGAACGCGATCAAGTCAGCTATCATGATTATCTCAAATGGTATTGATTCCCATGAGCTAGTACAGCAGCATTACTGTATTATATTACTGTTACTACTAGTAGCATCATTTTTTATCCTTTTTTTGAACATCTCTTAGCAGATCCTTAACAATCGAAACTAGTTTTTTAACGGTACAAGTACCGTTCCGTACGTACAAGCAGGGGTCACCCCTACCTGCCCTGGCCTGTGTACCACCATTACGCACCGACTTACAGTAAACAATGCACGAGAAAGGTTTCTGAACCGATGGCACCGGAAATCAGCAAACAAGACACAAGTTCACTTCGACGAGTATCGTACTGTACGGTACGTACCGTACAGTAGGTGCGATTACGTACGAATTCATTTACCTGTACTGGTAAATCCTACTCGCTTCGCTGGCTTCGTCACGATCGCGCATTACTACTGTTGAAACCAAATGCTGTTTTGTATCGTAAACAATCGACTGATGGCATTTTTTTCATCTGTTCAGTGAATTGGAGCACTGTCAAGCACATCGTGGAAATGCGCAACGAAGCGCTCCCCCGCCACAACTCGGAAACAGCAACCACTTCCCTACCGTAACTAGCTTTTCTTGTTCATCCTCAATCATGCCCGTTTCCCTTGGCGACGATTCGGACGACGATTCGGACATGGACTTTCTGCTCCAGCCACCGGTATTTGCCAGGCCGAAGAAACCGGAGAAAAAACGCCCAGAGCCGAGGCCGATCCTCTCGCTGGAACAGATGCTTTCCGAACGACGCAACAATGCGAACGCGGGAACGAAGAAGGAATCCGCGGGAGGGCGCAAACGGAAACAAAACCATCAAGCGGCGAGGGAAGGAAAGGCGAAACGAAACTCCGGCAAGGAYGACGAGACGAAAGCCGTGCGTCCCCGGGCACAGCGACGAACGGATCCGGAGTGGATCGAAAAGCAGGCACGAATGACCGTAGAGGAAGAACTGAAATTGGACATGGCCGACAGGATTGACGATTTGGACGGCATTGGGTGGTACCGTGAATCCAAGAAAAGGAAGGCCGATGTGTTTTACCCAGCAATCCTATCCGGAAAGAACAGTTCCGAGGCAAGAATCCTTCTCAAGAACAAAAACACGAGCAGCAGCAAAACGAGGAACAAGATTCGGATTCAATACATCGGGGCCACCTATAGATACACCTCGCATCACCAAGAAGTTGCCTCTTCGAGGTGGATTCCGTTGTCCAAAAGCACCGATTTGGAAAACGAAAAGCGTCTTCAGGGTTTCATCAAAGCAATCTCTCCCGACTTTAAAAAGAACTTGTTGGATCTGAAAATCGAGGAACTCGCCATTCGGAAAATATGGGAGAAAGTAAGGACCAGGACCGAAGAGCGCCGAGCGMGAGAAAAAGAGGAGCGCGCCGCTAGAGCGACGGCGGAAGCATTCCCTCCGGTTCCCGTGACGCAGGATTCCGAYAGCAACAGCCAGAACAGCGGTGCAGACGCACACGCCGCGGGCAGCGACATCGATTCCGATTGCGATTCCGATTGCGACAACGCCAGCAGCTGCGACGAGAGCTTGCCCGGCTCTTCCGARACGAGGCAGGAAAGCCGAAAACCGCCGCTCCGGGTGGGCGACGAGGTCGAATTCTACGACGTAATGGGGACGCACGGGGATCCGTCGTCCCTGCGGAGGGCCACCGTCGTGGGCGTTCAATCCGGGGACAGTCGGTTCCCCTTGCTGTTGTCRAACACGCTTGCTCCGCTTCCGGCGAACCACATGGTCCGTCGGTTGCCGGACGGTCGCTGGCGTCCCGTCAGCGGTTTTGCCCTTCGCTCAGAGGGGGGGCAGACCCTGGCGGCGACAAACAATTTTCGCGAGATACGGGCACAAGTCATCAAGGCCGCAAACGACTTTTGGAAGAACGACGGAAAGGGTGGCAATGACATCGGTGCAAAAGAGGAAAAGGCGGGAAACTTCGATAGGAAGAAGGAGACACAGAAAAAGAGAACCAAGGACGGAAACAAAGTCAAAAACGGCGATCGCGTTTCCAAAAATCGCCGTGCATCACTCCGAATTCGTCGCAAGGGGGACACTGGTTGAATCTCCGATTGCGTATTGGAAACCGAAKGAATCATTCAGAAAAGACCGAAGGCGCAAGGGTTGTTGCATCACTTTCGCAGCGCCGAGGTAATCTAAAATCGGTTGTTTAGATGGCACAAAAAAGTCTCTGGCTTAGTTGATTCACTTCTGAGCTGACACGGAATACTATGTGATGTTCTCGGGGCACAAAATAAAAATCTATTTCAAGTCGTGGTTGCGTCGACCATTACGGTAATGGATGAAGGCAGCTTACTTTCATTCCAAGACCTAGAAACTGGAATATTGATGGAGGTCTACCGTAACTAGCAATATGGTATGAATTCGGAACGGATGGATTTATGAAATAAAACAACAAAGAAAATCGCTTTGTGGGAAGGAGTTATGTTACAATACGTTTTTTTAATTCTTTCGGATCTAAAACTTAGTGAAGCTCAATTTGGTTGCTCTGTGTTTTTTCAATTTCTTGCACCGTGCTGATTACAATTGTTATTGTTACTACAGTATAGATCTATTTGGCGCGGCTTTTTCCTCCGCACGCTCATGGATGTGAAATTTGGATCCACTGCATGTGGCCATTTTCCTGACATTCGTGCTATGGCAGTTCAAACTGCTATGGAAACTACGTGTATTTGAACTCAAATTAATTTGGTGTGCATTTCTGCAATTTCTCTCGCTGTCAGCTGATCTCTTTTTGCTTCCACAATACCATTTCTTTCAGTGCCATACCGGTATCTATTCATAGTATCCATGCTTTTTCTTGTGGACGGACTTGCATACTGGCGACCGATCCAGCAACAACACAAACGAGAAGCACCGCGGAATGACAACGACAACAAACTTCTCCGTAGCCGATTTATCTGAAAGTTTCTTTTGAAGACAATGTACTGGGGGCTACCAACAATACGAGAACAGTAAAATAAAATGTATTAATTTAAGTGAATACTGACTTGGAACACACAAATCAGCGAAGGAGAACTTTGATATAAAACTATTAACCAGAGCTGTTCTTTTGTAGTCAAGACTCCAATCTCTTATTCGGGGAATCTTTGGGCTACATTCGCGAATACTGGCCATTGAATCCATCCATGGAATTGCTCGTCTTTGATCCAGACAAGCCACCGGCAATTTAGTGGCACTGCGCATAACACGCATCTTGGCCTTCCGACAACAAACTATCAAACGATCGACCAACCACCACGACCTATGCCTTGGCCTCCTGCGCTAGTGACTTCTAAAGTCACGAATGGATAAAAGATCTAGTGTACTCGCAATCGAATTTAAAAACTCATACCCATACCGCCCCCACCCATTGCTCCGCCCATACCGCC